TTGGTTTTCTGATGCTTTAATTGTGATTAATAAATGACTCTACTCCGCTAGTGCCGTCACCCAGTAACCGGGAGTCTTCACCACAAGTGTCGACTTTCGCGTCAAAAAGTGGCGATATCTATGAGTAGTCAGTCCTGAAGCTGTGAAAAGTTGAGTAACTGGGCTCTTTCATCTAAAAATGTTAGAATTCACGTCAAAAGACTTGAATAGCTTGGGACTGAGCATTTATTAAAAAAAACAAAATGTGTGCAAGCTTATGATCATGTTGGCCTGCCGATCCTTGTTCTTCAATGTTGAGATTTTGATTTTCAGTTGACCCAATTGCTAACTTTTGCTAGTTTAATATTTTAATTTCTTAGACGAGTTAGCCATGAATTGGACGAGTCTATGATTTCAGGAGCTAACTGGGAGAAATATGTTTTGACACTTAGCCACTAAAACTTGATTTTGGGATAAGCGTAGCTTGGCAGTAAATGAAATGAGAGTTAGCCATTGTTGAGTTTAGTGTCCCCATACTTGAGGACAAGCATCATTTAAGTGTGGGGGGAATTGATAGGGTATTAATTGTTAGTAATTTTATCATTAATTTTCCTCTTTATCCTTGCCAAATATTGTTTTAATTGTCAATATATATTTATATTTGGTATTTGGATATAATTTCAGAAAGTGGAGCAGAAAAGTGCTAAAAGGGGACCTTCTTGAGAAGATTTCTCCACACGTGAAAGCTTCTAAAAGCTTTCCACCATCAGCCCAAATTGTGCAAACCAACGGAATTGCTGAAGAATTGAATTGATATGATGAAATCCACTAGCAATAAGAAATCAAGCGGGGACCACGTAGAAAGTTTGTTCTTATTGTGGGAGATATACTCATTAGTCAAGGTGTTGACTTTGATGATTGAGCTTTGGCTTTGATGATTGAGCTTTTCTAATTTGCTTCCTACGTCACTAGTTCTCTTAGGAAACTAGTGCTAAAATAAAATAAGGGAAAGGCACTAGGCGAGTGCTATATAAGACATTAGATTAGTTTCTCTCTAGAGAGAGGAAGATAGGTAGTCTTAGTCATAAAATAGGATTTTGTTCTTTCATGTTTTGTGGGATGTGAAGATCTCTTCAGTTGGTTTGTTTTGTATTTTTCTTCCGTCTCTTCCTTTAGACTAGTTTCTTTCATGAAACTAGTTCTATTTCATTAGATTACGGAGACTAGCAAGAGTTATTTATGTCTATGAATTCAATTGAATTGCGTGGGAATTTTCTTATGAGGCGTGGCTAATTTTCTCCTCTAGTCAAGGATCAATACGAAGACGCAGTCCCATATATCTGTGAGATCTAATTAATTTTACGTGTTCCTTAATTTGTTAATATTTGCATGTTTTCTATTTTAATTTCCATGGGATTATTTTGTTAATTGGATATCAAGGGACCGATGTGCAATTTGACTTATTAATCTCTTGTAATCAATTAAATCCGTAATTGTTTAGTTGGTTAATATTAGTGACAATTAGTATTTTCACATACTAGGGGAACATGCAATCTGATTTAAATAACCCTCGTAGCGTGTTATTAATTTGGGTTAGGCTTTTCTAGTTTTTAATGCAATTAGGAAATTAATTCCTACGGTCGTACCTAGGAGTATTTCCTGGTTAGGGGTAATCAATGGTCGTACCTTGGTTATCAATAAATTAAGGAAAAGCTGGTCGTTAGAGCTTATCGACGACTATAACTAACCTGTTAATAAAATTAAGTGAACGTTCTTTGCATCAATGATCGGATGAATGGACTGTGTCTGCGTAGTTGTATCCTTGGCTAGAATTTATTTATCATCTATTTAATTGCTATTTACAATTGTATTAATTAATTATTTATTTTTGGTTAATTATTTTTAGTTAAATTGTTTAATTGTTTATTTTTAATTTCATTTTGATAAAAATCCCCCGTGTCTCGAATTTAAAAAGAATCGAATTTTTTCCCAGTCCCTGTGGATTCGACCCTGCTTACTACTATACACAGAAAATTTATTTTTCTTAAGCAGGTATTTATTATTGCACAGGCACGACACCTGTCAGACCGGATCTTGAATCTCCCGGTTCTGATGACCAACTCGGATCGGACACTTGGCCGGTTCCCGGTTCAACCGGTCCGGTCCGAATTTGAAAACACAGCTAAAATGAAGGCCAGGAAGGCCTAAGACGGTGAGGAGTAGAGGTCAGGATGAGGAGACGGGTAGTAATGCTACAAGATTGATGAGAACTGTTATAAATGAGCGAAGTGGTACCACTATTATTATATAGTAACAAGAAGAGGAATTATACACCATTGTAGTGATTGTACACAAGTAGGACACACCATAAAGAAATGCATCATCTAAAAAGATCCAATGGATGACAAACATCTAAGAGTGAATCACAAGTAAGTTTCAATACTCTTTATGTTGGAGGGTGCATAATAATATTACTATCATTAATTTGAATTTTTTTTGTTGTTGAAGGGTGATAGGGAAGTTGAGTTAGCAGTTCATAGTCTTGCAATATCTGCAACTTTAAATCAAAGCAATTCAACTACTGTAGCACAGTCGAGAGTAGAGCGGTTCACGAATCGAGCCACTCGCGAGCGGTTTGAATACGAGCGCAACTTGAGCTCGGTCAATATAGAACTCGAGTTCAAAAACATTAAGCTTGTTGGGCGCTCGCGAGTTCGATTATATATATTTTTTATTTTAATAGTAAAATTATATATATATCCCTAATATTTTATTATTTGTTAAAAAATTATTATTTTATTCATTTTTAAAAATAAAATAATTATTTTTTATTTTTTAAACTCGAACTCGAGCTCGAGCTTGACATATTGAGCTCGTCAAGCTCAAGCTCGAGTTCGAGCTTCATAAAATTAACTAGAGGCTCGACTCGACACGATTCGTTTGCACTCTTAGTCGAGAGGACAAGTAAGGGACACAAGCATGGGGTAGTAGAGGCGAGGCGGAGTTAGAACTCTAGGGAGTTCTAGTGGGGTCAAAAGAGGTAGGAGTGCAGGATGAAATTCAACAACTTATTCTGGAGTTGAAAGAGCAATAGGTTGTGTTAGAACAATAGTTCCAAAGGAGGGTAGGGGAAGAGGTAAACAATTTGCTACTTATTAAAGAGACAAACGATAGCCAATGGTAGAGGAGGGAGGGATGGTAAGGGAGTAGTAGAGAATTATGGAGTAGAATTATTTGGAAACTGTAATGGTATAGGTCTATCCACAAGAAAATCCTTTATACTTGCTGATCGGGTATTTAATCTTCACAATTCACTTTAATGTGCATAGTTGCATCATGATGTTTTAGAGTTTACTTGACAAACTTGCATTTTCAGATTATAGAAGCAGCAAATGTAGTAGGTTGACCACATACTCAACCTACTACTTATCTTGTATGTATGTGTGACTATTTTTTGTTTTAGTTTTGTTTTTCCTAGAAAGTTAATTAAGTTTGGGTTACTTTTGTGATTATTTCTATTGTACAGACACAAAAGACAAGGCTTGGTCCAGTAATCTTCTCTTCTCAATCTTTTGTTGTTGGCTTTCATGCATGTGCATCAAGAATACTGGTGAAACAACTATTGCTTTAAGTTTGGTAGACTCAATTACAAGTATGGTAATGGTATTTTTGTCCTTTAGTCTGACCAGACTCCTATCCTATGGGGTCTTTTTTTTTTTTTTTTTTTGGTCGACACAAGGGTGTTTGGATCAATCCTTACGGGGCCCGACTAATACCCTGCGACCCGGGCCCGACGCCCCAACCCGATTCGAACACGTTAAGTGCGCGGAGGAATCCAACGGAGCGGAGACCTTAACGTCATGCTTTGATATGGGGCCTTAACGTCATGCTTTGATACCTTTTGTTGGTTGGCAAAACCTATAATAATATATTTAACATATGATATGTTAGCTTTTATCAGAATCTGTTGTTTTCTTTTGAGAAGAACTTATTGGTTTAATAGAATGTCACAGCAGCAATTGTTCCGCTTCTTTCATTATTTTCGGTAAAACACCAAACGGAATATTCCTAGATGGGTAAAGTGCGTATTCTTTTGATTGAAGGGGGTAAAGTGTCATTAAACCAAAAAAGGATTAAGAAAATGAGCTGACAAAATTAATCACATTATTAGCAAAATGGATTTTTAATATCTAAAACAAAAAACATCATAACGACGCTAGTTAGCACGATAGCTTGGCCTAATTATTTAGGCTCATAGCTGCTAATCCATACTGGAACTTTTAAAGCCTTCAGTTTCCGTAATAATCCGTCTATCTGGGTCAAAAATTTTTCTACTTCACATTATGACAACACGCATTGAATAATCATATACAACGAGCTATTATCTTTATTGGGTAAAAGTAAAATGCCAAATTCATGCAGTGATCCACCTTTGTTTTGTAACATCTAATCCGATAACTGACTCTAATATATAATTGACAATGATGTGTGGTTCAATCAGTAAGACGTTTCATCAGTACTTGACAAGTCAATGATTCGAATCATCGAAAAAGTAAGTAGAAAATCACTATTGATTTAGTACTGTTTTTTTTTTAATTTTTATTTTCACTTCTTTAATTGTACATTAAAAGAAATTACTTAACTAAGGACCTCTAATCATCAACTGTTTTTTTTAATCTCGTCCTTTCTTTGGTTAGTCTGCAAGAATTAACTTACTGTACAATTAATTGTTGAATATTCAATATAAATGTACAGTAAACAAGTTTGCATTAATGGTCATTGTCAAGCATTTAAATGAACATAAGTTGTTAAATGATCCAGACAAATCAAGACCTATGATTAGTTGTTAATAATTCAAGCAATTATAGTCAGTCCACAAAGAAAGATTCTTATCAATGTTAGCTAGAAATCAGTATATGTAAGGATTCAAATATGCAATTCATTACCAGTTTGAGTAACTGTGCTTTCCTTTCTTGATCTAATCTTTGTTTCACGTCTCAAGACAGCTAGCCAAGGCAAACATGGTGATGGAATTTCAGCATCTCCTTCTGCTTCTTTGGTTTCTAATTCCAATCCTATATCTGTTTCTTCACAAGTTTATTTTGAGAAAAAAATCTCAAATTTCAAAACCCAACTTAACTGCTGAAAAGCCAAGGCTACCGCCAGGAAGATCAGGCTGGCCTCTTGTAGGTGAAACATTGGATTTTTTCTCCAAAGCTAACCAAGGTTGCCTTCATAAGTTCGTAGCAGATAGGAGGAAGAAATATTCCTCCAATATTTTCAGGACATCATTGATTGGATTCCCTGTGGCCATCTTATGTGATGCTGAGGGCAACAAATTTCTGTTCTCCAACGAGAATAAGCTTTTCAAGCATTGGTTGCCAAGCGCATTTGACAAACTCTTTCCCAAGTCAAATAACAAGCTCAACACTAACCACTCAAAATCACTGCGTAAACTCCTGGCGTTCATTCTTAAGGGCGATGTGCTTCGAGAGTACGTTGGTGAAATGGATGAAGTAATGAAACATCATCTGCAAACAGATTGGAATTGCGAAAGAGTAAAGGTTAGTGATGTTGCAAGAAAGTTTGTATTGAAATTGGAATGTCATATATTCTTAGGAATCGAGAATCAAGGAAAGATTGATAAACTTCTAAAGGGTATCGAGGAGGTAACGGATGGTATGCATTCAATACCCTTAGATGTTCCAGGATCAGCTTTCCGTCGCGCCATTAAAGCATCAAAGCTGATGCGGGAAGAGTTTGAGGAAATGATTAGGCAAAGAAAGATTGACCGCCTGGATTCATCTTCAGGAAAAGACTTCATATCTCACGCTCTTCAAGCTACAGATGACAATGGACAGTTGTTTAATGAAGCAGACATTGCTAGCCATTTACTAGGTGCGCTTCAGGCTGCCTATGGAACCTTACACCACAGAATCACCAACATCATGATGTATCTAACAGAGCATCCAGATGTTTATAACTTGGTCTTAAGAGGTAAATCAATAGCTAATTCTGCTCATGCATCTGTATGTTTACGTTAGGATAAAACAGAAGAATATGTTTTCATTTGTTTGAGAGATTTTTCAAGCTAATAGTATGTTTTCCATGAATGGGGGAAAGAGCAAAAAGAAATTGCACGTCTAAAGAAATCAAAAGACAGACTCAGTTGGGAGGATCTAAGGAAGATGAAGTATTCATGGAATGTTGCATGTGAAGCTCTGAGACTGAAATCACCAGCACTCGGGGGATTCAAGGAGGCAATTACTGATGTGGACTATGGAGGATATACAATCCCTCAAGGATGGATGGTAAATAAATTTGACATTCTTCTGCCTTGTAAATCTTGAGATTAATTTGTTTTCAATTTCCAGCCTTGGATAAACATTTACATTTGATGTCTGCAGATGCACTGGAATGCGCATGCCACGCACATGAACCCAGAATACTTTCCTAACCCTGAAAAGTTTGATCCATCAAGGTTCCAAGGGGATGGTGGTCCATCTTCTTATACATTTGTCCCCTTTGGGGGAGGAGCACATATGTGCCCTGGATATGAATATGCAAGGCTAGCCATATGCATTTTTCTGCATAATGTGGTGACTAAGTTCAGATGGGAAAAGCTGATTCCCAATGAGAAGATCTTGCATTATCCAATTCCCCGCCCAGCCCAGGGCCTTCCAGTTCTCCTTTATCCTCTTGCAATATAATTGAAAATATTACATGACCATTCAGGTGTGTAAAAAAAAAAAAAAAAACTTTTTTTTTTATTTATGGAAAATTTTGATATATTTATATCGCTTGCAATAGTGTTATCTCTAAGAGTCATTGTCCAGTTCATTATCATTATGCTGAAAACCAACGTCAGAATCTTACCAGAAACAGCAAAAAAAGTGAAATACTTTTACATGTACCCTCAAACTTTTCACTCCATTAAGACACTACTAAATGCCATAGAAAAATACACGCCTGCTACTCTGCAGCGTTAATGCGTCTAAGATGCGTACACCGCTTTACTTCATATGTAGATGGATAGATAAAATAGGAGTAGTAATAATTCACTAATTCGTAAACAACTAACGAAAACGTTTAATTGCCTTTCCAAACTAATTCGTCCCTTCACCTTTTCCAAGGAATATTGGGCGTTGTTTTTGGCCCTTCGGCTTTTCCATTACTAAAACTGGGGGTTTTTCGGGCTTCTTAGGCTCCTTGGGCTCCACAGGTTTCTTGGGCAGCTTGATAGTATGTGACTCCATGATCACTGAGTTCTCCTGTCCAAAAAAATTGAGCATAACCCCCAAAAAAAAAAAAAAAGAAATCCTTGTTATAAAACTAATAAAATGAAGATACTATAATAGGAATTGAAGAAGTATTAGAGAAAGGAGTAGAGAAAGGGAGAATGATATCCTAATATTCTAACAAAATACAAAAGTCCTTACAAATGGTGTCAATGTACCTCTATATATAGGTACTACAAGATTAAAGGTGCATCAACTCTATTAAACACCCACTACTACAAGAATATGAAAAAACCTATGAAACGGTTTCTCCACTACATAAATAAATTTATGGATTGTAACTTCTATACATAATGTAGCCATAATCATGAATTAATCTCTTGGGAATACAAATGGACATCCATACTTTTAATTGTTTCATAACACTCCCCCTTGGATGTCCATTACACAAAGAATATGCCTCGTTAAAACCTTACTAGGGAAAAACCCAGTGGGATCAAAAACCCTAGTGAAGGAAAAAGAGTACACTATTCTTGTGTATTAATTTCTCCCCCTGATGCAAACATCATTTGAGATCTTTTAATCGTCGCATTCCAAAATTCTTTGCCAATTGCACTGAGATATGGTACTTCAGGACCAAGTATCTCTTCATCTTCCTCTCACGATCTAAAATGATCTTTATTAGGATCTAATGATCTGACGATCATTGGAATATTTAATATATGTGTCTTATCCATATAAAACCGCTTTAATACCTTCCGGGTATATGCAGTTTGGTGGATAAAAATTTCACTTTTCAAATGCTCAATTTGTAAATCAAGGTAGAATTTTGTTTTTCCAAAATTCTTGATCTCAAAATCCTTCTTCAAATATTCAACATTATTTTGAATCTCTTCAGGAGTTCCAATCAAATTTAGATCATCAACATATACAGCAATTATCACAAAATTTGATCCATTTTTCTTAATAAAAACACATGGACATATTGGATCATTGGTATAACCTTTTTTTGTCAGACATTCATTGAGATGGTTATACCACATACGTCCAGATTGTTTGATCCCATACAGAGACCTTTGTAATTTAATAGAATAAATATTTTTAGGATTTGATTTGCATGCTTCAGGCATGTTGAATCTTTCGGAAATTCTCATATAAATATTATTTTCAAGATTCCCATATAAATATGCAGTAACGACGTCCATTAGACGCAAATCTAATTTCTCATGTACTGCAAAACTTCACAAGATATCTAAATGTAATAGCATCCACTACAGGTGAATACGTTTCATTATAATCAAATTCAGGTCTTTGTAAAAATTATTGGGCTACAAGTCTTGCTTTATACCTCACAATTTTTTTTCTCATTTCTTTTTCTCACAAATACCCATTTATATTCTACTGACTTTACACCTTCAGGTGTTTGGACTACAAGTCCAAAAACTTTTCTTGTAGCCAGTGAGTCCAATTCAGATTGAATCGTATCTTTCCATTTTTTCAATCATTTATATACCGACATTCATCAACCGATCTAGATTCATGATTCTCATCAACTTCTATAATATCAAGTGCTACATTTTATTAGGCTCCAATTAAATTTTTTTTATGATTTCATTCTCTTCATAAGTTGGCTCTTCCGGAGCGACCTTTTCAAGAGGTTGAATTTTGTCATGACATTTAATCTCCGAAAATATTTAAAATCAATTTATACCTTATTTAGGTAGGCCGGTCTTAAATTTATTTGTAGCACTTGTGCATGTCCTTCAGGGACATCAATTTTAATCAAGGTATTTCCTGCAGAAACATTTGATTTAATAACTCTTCTGGAGTCGATAATATATCTAACAACTGGTTTGCAATTTTCTGTAAATGAATAATTTCTTGAATTTCCAGTTCACGTTATTTTGTATGAGAATCGAGGAAATCCAATTTTTCAGGTGATTTCCTTTCGGTTGATTTCTTCCTCCCCCTAATGTCGGGAATCGTAACTCATCAGAATAAATAAATCATTTAATAGATCACTCATCAAATATTTTACGATATTTAATCGTAAAAAGTGATTCATACCCGACATAAATTCTAAATTTCTTTTGGAGCCATATATAATATAAAGGGGATATGTATAAATATTTGTCTGCTCTCAAATATTTTCACTTTCGTCAAATCATATATCTATTGGGATCAGTAAACTTCTGGTTTACTGCAGGTGATAATTATTAATCAAATGAGAATGAAGACAACTATATCGATAACCATTTCTCTCTCGAATGGTTATTATGATATAATTAACATTTATCTCATTTGATTTCTAAACATGATCTTTGTCATTGTCTCATTTAGTGTCTCAATTTAGATATTCAAATTCAATAAATTTTCGAGACATGGTAAAAAGTAGTGATTTATTTATGATAAATTTTTCTCCTACAAGGAGAAATATAGTAGTGACTCTTCTGGAGTTTTCAATCACTTGAGCACAACTATTGATTGTGTTTGTTTCTCTTACTGGAATATAGTATATGTAGTAGTACTTATTAATGAGACACATATCATTGTCACCATAATTCTTATGGGACAAATATCATCACCATAATCCTTTGATCCCAAATATTTAACATCCATTTCTTCTTCAGGAAGAAAAGTTAATTAAATCAATCATCATACACCTTCAGGGTGTTTAAAGAAATTGGCCATGTGAAAATGTTATTATAATTTTGATTCGTCAAATGTATTTCGGGACATTTATCTTTAGGACCTTTATTTTCGTGTCCTTATCATTATTATCCCACTTCAAGTGGTAACTTTTTCTCTTGTCATGGTAAAATATATATTTACCAAAATCATAATCATGGCAACAACCATAACTAATAAATTGAAATTTAGTCACATTCACTTTTGGGAATGGACTAGAATTAGCATGCAATAAGTACAAAATAATTCTCAAAATTTCTCTTAATATTGCTACTACAGGAGCATATTCGAGAAATCAATTGTGGAGAGTATCATTTTCAATATATCTTATGAGTAAAATTTTCTCGACACAATTTCAATTGAGAAATAATTCTGAAAATTGCATAATTATGTTCTTGTAGCCACAGGTAAATTTATCATACCAAGCTTTGAAATAATGACCATCTTCTAGTGGTTAAATATTTTCGTTAAAGAACGACCATTTTCAGGTAGTCGAATCTTTTTCTTTAAGTATTTCGAAGGACAAGTGAATCTTCAAATATAATTGATTTTCTATAATAACATCTCCAAAACTCAATGCACCAGACTATAAGTATTTATAACAAATAATTATAAAGATAAATAAGTAGAATTAAAAGGAGAAATATTACCTCAAAGATGTCAAACAGTATATATTTGTGTTTAATGATTGCTCAGCAATAGGTACTTGTATTTTTCGATCATTCAATTGTTAGCCATAAGAAATTGACATAAGTTTGTGGGTTAGAGATTTACCTCAGAAGTTATTTGAAGAAATACGGGCAGAATTTTGACAAAATCTTGTGTTTCACTTTTGTTCATGGTAGAGGCTCCGTTTTCACCTTTTGCTCAAAAATAGAGACTCGTGCTGATAACGTGTTATAAAACTAATAAAATGAAGATACTATAATAGGAATTGAAGAAGTATTAGAGAAAGGAGTAGAGAAAGGGAGAATGATATCCTTATATTCTAACAAAATACAAAAGTCCTTACAAATGGTGTCAATGTACCTCTATATATAGGTACTACAAGATTAAAGGTGCATCAACTCTATTAAACACCCACTACTACAAGAATATGAAAAAACCTATGAAACGGTTTCTCCACTACATAAATGAATTTATGGATTGTAACTTCTATACATAATGTAGCCATAATCATGAATTAATCTCTTGGGAATACAAAGGGACATCCATACTTTTAATTGTTTCATAACAATCCTCAAATTCTTGTCCGTACAAAATAAAGCCACTAGCTGAGCAAACACTAAAAAAGGGAAAAAAAAAAAAGATGCAAAACAATATATAATATCACGAACATTTGAGGGATGGTTTCGAAAGCTAGCAAGAGAATTGGCTTACCTTCTTAGCCATGGTTGATGAGGAAGGCAGTCAGTGACGATGGGTGGATTTGATCAAGAAATGGGAAATTTTTTCTTTCCTTTTGGGGGTTTTGTGGGGTGGGTGGGGAAGGCAGAGCAGGGAAGTGGGGAAAGGACGTAGGCAGCAATATACTGAATTAGACAGTAGGCATTAGCATTACCCCATCATTGACATATTCCCAATTCCCACAAAAGCACGACTCTAGTCATCACCTAAGGTCCAAGGGTACTGAAGGTCGTTGTAGGGATAATTTCAGGTTTCTAACCATTTCATTGAGCTCCATAAGATTTAAAAAATTACATATATATTTCTTGATTTAATAGTTTTAGTAACAAAACCTAAAATAATATTGACTTGATCAAATTTTTAAATAAATACCCAAA